ACGAATTCGAGATTTTGTTTGGATCCTTCCTTATTACTTTTTTTCTTTATTTTCGGAGTTTACTTTTCGAATATCCAATTTATCTATTATCGAATACTTTTTCAAATGCCCTAATGTGAATGGGTTGAATAAAGAGATACCTTATATTAATGTTAAGAAATTTGAAAAAGTCCACTCGCGAAAAAAAAAATGCGAGAAAATTATTTATTATAACAAACAAATAAAAAATTGAGGTCGGACGGTATACATTCTATATTAATATACACTGTGCTTATTATGCTCGGAGCGAACGTTCCGCATATCGATTTTAGACACCACAAACTCAATCATATTTACTAACCAATCCATTTAATGCGCCAGCTTGAGTTTTCAAATTTGGGATCTCATATTTCGAGTTCTTTTTAAATCTAGCAGTTTTGTTGGTTATCACAGTGTCTTTTTTTTTTTTGAAAATAAACTTTCACTATTTGCCCTATTAAGTCAAGCATCGCACAAAAAATTCTTACCAGACATACTCAAACAATGAATGACCAAAAATCTCTCAAGTAGGTCGTGTAGAGAGTGATGAGTGAAAGTATCTTCATTGTTGGTATTTGCAACTTTTAATATAAGCAGTGGCTATGATCACATTAGTTAAAGGATTCGTTAACCATGTTGCTAATTGTAGATAAAGTAAATGCTTTTTTCCTTTGTTATATAAATAATAATAATTTTTATAATTTTATTTATTCATAAAAGGTAAAATAATCAATAATGTAATTAATTCAAAATTAGATTGGACTTTGCGCATTTTTAAAGAACAATTTACTTACTATTTTATTGGGAAACCTGCCCGTTTCTTTTTTCTTGCCTCATTTAGACATTTCTTTTGTTACTATTCCATCTAAAAAATAACCAAAAAGCACCATTCTCATATTGATCAATTTTGCAATTTCCAGGAAAATTTTATTTTCTCTGTATATTTTTTGTTTCCTTAGTATTATTTTACAAGTGCGTAATGATTATATAACCTTTTATTTATCCAAATGAATCAAAATAAAGTTTGCATAGTTGTTACATAAATAAGTCCAAAAAAGAAAATAATTCTCTGATTAATATTAATATATACTAATTAATGCTTATTGATTGAGAATACATTATCTATAGATATCAATAAAATAAGTCTATATACGAGGAAACTTTATCCTATTATTCGATATGAACAAAGGATTTCTATTCAACCAAAGCAAGAAAGTGATCTTGACTTTATTTCTACTCCTTCCGCTTGTGACAGCATCTATCATCGACGAAAATTATGAATCTGGACAGGACGTGTATGATGCAATTATTAACACGTTCTTTCCAGTATTTTTTGTTCTTCTATTCAATGTTTCAGGGGAATCTGGACCCATAAAAAATGTGCTGTTGCCATTACTGGATGACTTATTATACAACACAGTCACTTGGGTGATTCCGCTAGTAGTTTCTTTGGCCTATGATGATTTGCTGAGTATAAGATATTTTCATTTGTAAACATGGCTTTGCATCTAATTGCTGCAACAGGTGCAATAATTAAGAATGAAAAAGTTGAAAAAATTATTGATGATCAACCCTGTTTCTTTATGATTATCTTAGTATTCTTGATATTATTCCCAGCTATAATCATTCCAATATTCTGGATTGTTATTATTACAACTAGACATTTCTTTGAACCAATTAGTGTAGTATTCCTTACATTATTTGGGATATTGTCAGTTACAGCACTCGTTTTTTTAATACTATTTTGTCTTATGATATGTGGCTCAAAGAGATCGGAACAAATAACTAATTCGAAGTTTGTTGCTACTATATTATTTTCTGTATGGTTTTATCTCCCGAATATTCTGCAAACATTACTTATTGTGTTAAAATGGCCAATCAATTTTTACTTTGTCAAAGTATGCGTGTTTATACTGGTTCTCTCTTTAACAAGAAATGTGTCCTTCTTTACAGAGAAGAAACCAGCACCTGATGACTTTCTGGCTACTTCAACAACATTCACTCAATGTCATCTGCGCAGAATAATCGATGAAAATATAAAGGAGGATGAAAGTCAAAGGGAAATAAGCGAGGAAATAGAAGAAACTCAAAAAGAAGAAATGAACAAATCAATGGCTGAAATGAAAAAAACAATTGCCGAAATGGCCGAAAGGATGGATAGAATGGAAAGATCAAGGTATATTAGATGAAATTGTTGAATTACTATTCAAACACATTAGTTTTTTAGAAAGGACTATTGCTGCGGTGACTCCGTCATTAACAGTATATTTATTTTTTATTTATTTACTATTTACTATTTACTATTTACTATTACATCATTATAAAATAAAATGAGGATATAAAAATATCATTATTTAATAAAAATGAGGATATAAAAATATCATTATTTAATAAAAATAAGGAAATATCATTTTAATATTTGAAAAATAACAATCGTGATAATAAGAGTTTGGATGATAATGATATCTCATCTATCATTGTTGACAGAAAAGATAAATCTTATGCAGAGAAATTATTATCATAATTAATGACTAGTTCCTCCAGTCCCCTATTTTGGAAATTGTACCATTCTTCTTTTACCCTTATCAAATGTATTACTGAGAATAACTAATTTCCTCTCCAAATTCATCTCTGCTTTTTTATCTTGTGCTATATACCTCCAACTTCTTTTTCTCTTCTAATTCTTCCTTCTCCAACTTTTCCTTCTTTTCTTTCACCTTCCACTCGATTGGAGTTTGGAGTTGTTGGTAATTCCTATTAATAGAACCCACTAGTCCCGATACAACATTAAGCAAAGGATTAATTTTATTGTTTTCTTTCATATAAGTTGTGCAAAATTCTTTTTCAAATAAAAAGTTGGGTCAAAGCCGAAGTTATCAATAATTCTCTACTCCTTTTACAGAAGAAGGAAAAACTTTCCAATCTTTGTTTATCAGTTAAGTTCCCTTGAAAGCAGTTAAGCAATGACCACACATATAATCTTCACCTAAAGCAGGTTCTTGGAAAGTGATCTTGCTTTAATTAAAACATTTTCTTGAAAACTCCTCCTGCCAGTTGTGCAAATGCTAACTTCTTTTTTAAATGATCAGCATTTAAGAATTCTTTGCCGTAACGTCATATGACTTTTAAAAACTTTACCCAGAATTTTCATATGGTAATTTATTGCTATTATTATTATTATTATTATTACTAATGTCTATTTTGTAATCTCCAGCCAGAATTCGAAACACTAGCTACTTGTGTGCATGTTATCAAATTCATTAGATCCAAATTGTATGTTATTATTATTGTGGTATATTATTTATAATCTACATACACAATCCCTATAAAAATAATAATCCGTTATTTGAATTTTAATTCCACGAATTTGCAACAGTGGCAAAGTCTGTTCCTCTCCTCGAATATGATACATTCCTGAAGAAAACATGAAATTTTAAATCACGGATCAGGTTTTTTTACATGCAATTTATAAGCTACGATGTCCAGGGGGGCGATATGTTGGTGCGAGAAGCTTTCCTTAATTGGCAGGATGATTGCTCTTTCCGTGTTAATTAAGTGGTTTACGTTCTTTTTGTTGAATCCAGAGCTACTGCTTAAAAATTAATAAAGATATTGATCCATAGAATCCAACTTTGTTTCACAATAAATGTGTTATTATGTTCAAGTAAACTGTGAAATTTTTCTGCAGAATAATATCTGTTTCTTTATAATCCTTGTATTCAATTCATCTAAATCACTACAATATATTGAAATTCATGTCACTTCTCTTTTTTAAAACCCATTGTTCTTACCATTGATCTTTTACAAATACAAGTACTGCCTTCTTGTTACTTATAAAACCTTTGTTCTTGAAAGTGTCAAAATCTTCAATTATGATTAATTTCTTTGAATATAATGTAACCGATAATAAAACGATTTTTTAAGGAAAAAAATCTGTGATCCAATGACTAATACTCTTAACTAATCAACTAACAACTTAATTAAATGGATGGATAAATAGACAGTTAATCGATCTTGAAAGTGTTTACCAAGACTATTTTGCGTGTTTACCTTCAACTCTAGGATCATTATAACTCAAGAAAATATTCTTTGCTATCGTACAAGAAATAGAAAACAAATCAATATTGTAATAATTAAACGAGAGATAAATAGATATATTTTCTCTCTCACACACACACGCACTTTTTAAATTACATTTTTCTAGTGCCCGCCTGAACATGAATTAGCTGTTTTATATTTACTTGATTCTATTTGTAAGAATGTTGGTGGACCATCTCTACCCGTTATTATTATTTTTTATAAAGTCTGACACGATCAATGAAGATGGCTCATCGTTAATTGTTAAATCCAATCGTTCAATATCATGTATTTATTTTGTCATAGTGGTTACGTAATGATAAAGTTTTTTGAATTTTGTAATAATAGATTATTGATATTGGTGTTAATAGAGCTTTTATGATATCATCTGAGAAAATCAAATTACAAACATCATCCGAAAAAAAAACAAGTATTCTTGATTTGATTTTGTGCATTAATGAATTGCTAAACTATAGTCAATACTATTATTATTATTTATTATATGATGAATCTCTCTAATACTCTTTTGTCAAGTATTTGCTGCTTTAGTATTAGTATAAAAATTTTTATACATCCATAAGAGGTATCACAAGATAAATTGCAAAAGATTCTGAAAATAGGTTCAAAAACTATAGTATTTTAAGCTTTCTAATATGTAATAGTTGGATGAATCTTGCTGTTTTTTTTTTTGTAATTTATTTTTGCCAGTGTTAAATTTCAATCCACTTGCAATAATAATTATAGTCATTTCAATGTATAACCATTTTAAGAATGATTAGATGATTTTCAATTTGTTATACAATATCAATTTGTACAATAAAAATCAAAAGTTCCATTGTTCATTTATCACCTCCTTACGTTCCTCCTCTCTTCACTTTTATTTTTTAACTTTTCTTAAATAAAAAATGGGTCTGGGTTTTAGTTGTCTTGGTTTTAGTGCAGTGCCTTGGATAACTTCTACTGTTATTTCATGTTTTTCTGCTGCCGCTTGTAATTTAGGTTGTAAATCATGCAACTGTAATAATTCTATAGCCACAAGAGTTGGATATGCTGTGAGTTATATAGTATATAGGAATATACACAATATAAATGAATATATTAATTGAATTTTTTTTTATTTAGATTATATTTTTAATAAATTCAATGGTAAGTTATAATATGTATAATTATCATTATCATTATCGTTATTATTAGTATGTACTATATCAGATGAAGAATATAATAAAAATTGATTATTTTAATTTTTAAGCTTGCGTGGCTAATGTTATCAGATTGGGCGATTAAACATCTAGAAAAAATAACACATCTACACCTGAGTTGTCCTGAAGGAACTTGTTATGGTGTTCTTGCCGTAATTAAATTTATTATTATTATTATGATTATTATATTATATATTATATATTATTAGTTTATTCTATCGAATGACTTTCTTACTAGATTTTTTCAATTGATCTCTAGGTACATCGTGTTTGTTTTGCACTTTCGCTTTTTCATTTAATTATAGGATTATTAGTAATCAAAGTTAATAGCACTCGTGATAAAAGAGCATCTATTCAGAATGGGTATTATTAAAAAAAAAAATAGATATATAAATATATATATTATTATTTATTTTCAAAAAAAAAAAAAAAGTAACATTTTATTATTTTATATTTAGGTGGTGGGGACCAAAAGTAATATTTTGGATATTTCTTCTAGTTATTAGTTTTTTTATTCCAAATGAATTTTTTGTGTTTTGGAGTAGTTCCGTTTCGTTGATTGGAGCTGCAATTTTTATTCTTGTTGGTTTGATAATCTTGGTAGATTTTGTGCATAGCTGGAGTGAAAGTTGTATTGAAAAATGGCAAGAAGAAGACAAAGAATTGTGGAAATATATACTTATTGGATCAACGCTTTTCTTTTTTATTGCTTCAATTGTTCTCACTGGCATCATGTACAAATTTTTTGGAGGATCGGGATGTCACACCAACCAATTTTTTATAACATTTAATTTAATTTTGTGTGTTATTGGTACAATTCTATCTATTCACCCTATAATTCAAGAAAAAAATTCTCGCTCAGGTCTTTCACAATCATCAATGGTGGTTTTTTATTGCACATATCTCATTTTAAGTGCAGTAGTCAATGAACCTCATGACGATAATGATGGTAATAACATTAGCGGCAGTGATTATGATGACAATTCACCTGTTTGTAATCCTTTATTGAAGACGGCCAACAGTGCAAGAACCACTACTGTGATTATTGGAGCTTTTTTCACTTTTATAGCAGTCGCTTATTCCACATCAAGAGCAGCTACAGACATCAATTCATTTATTACTAAATCAGACTATCATCCTATTAATACTGCAACTGCTGTGCCATTAACGACCAACCAGTCAAATGGTAACATGCGATCTGATTCACTGCTGGCTGCTGTCGAAAGCGGGTATGCTTTTTTAAAAATCATTATAATATGGCGTTGTGTGTGTGTTTACACACATTGATATATAATGTTGTACAATTTTTATAAATATAAAGTTCAGTGCCTGCTTCAGCATTAGATGATGATGATGACGACGATGATGATAATTGTAATGGTGTTGATAATGAAAAGAATGGTGTTACTTACAACTACACACTTTTTAATTTCATTTTTGCCATAGCTGCAATGTATGTTGCAATGCTTTTAACAAATTGGTATGTAATAGATGATGATATGCTTTATTTGTTATTTATTTATTCGCGTTTTTTTTTTTAATTGAATATTTTCCATTTGTGATAATAATCACGATAATAATAATAATAACAGGAATACCATCCAAATTACTGAGAACACTGAATCGGATCAATTGATTATAATTGGTAGAAGCCTTACATCTGTTTGGGTCAAAATTGTTTGTAGTTGGATTTGTATATTGTTATATTTTTGGTCACTCGTTGCACCAGTTTTATTACCTGAAAGATTTGAAGTATGATTATGATTATTATTCTTTTTTTCATTATATACATATAAATTATTATTTCAACGATTATTAATTTTAAAATTCTTTTTTTTTTTCCGATTAGGGACTTTATTTTTAAATCAATTAATTTTTATTCATAATTAAAATAAGCAAATAATAACTTGTATAAATCATAAAAAAACAAATTATCATATATACATATATAATCAAATATTTAAATATTGAAAATAAAGCAAAAAGGAGAAAACTTCTTTAATAGCACCTTTACTATATATTATGTATATTGAAGATTCATACCAATCATTAATAAGTCTGACTCGTCATTAGCCATATAACTAGAATGTTGATATTCATCGAAAAAAGTATAGAGATTAGAATTTTCCGATAATCTAGTGGCTAATTGTAAAATCAATTCATCAGTTTCTAACTCATCGATCGACATTTTAAAATCGTTGTAATTATAATTATTATAATCATTATTATTATTATTATTATTATTATTATTATTATTATTATTATTATCATTATCATTATTATTATTATTATTATTATCATTATTATTATTATTATTATTATAATGATATAAAAGCTTGGATTTTGTTATCATCATTTTATGACGTTTTCTATCTTCCTCAATTAAAAATTTAGACTCGTCCTCCTTGTCCATAAGAAATTCTATTTTTTCACTAGCAGATAATTTTGATAATATTTGATCGACCTTAAAATAAGTCGATATCCAATATTGCTTTTCGCCCTTTCCCAAAGGATCTTTATGAGATACTGTAGGAATTGCTTTTAAAGTTTCCTTGCGCACATTAGGTATCTGTTCGATAAATTTTTCTTCGCTATAAAAATAACATTTTTAATAATAATTAATAATAATAATTGATTGATTAATCGAACGAAAAATGATTTTTGATAACTACTTGCCTCATAATATTTTCAGTCAAACAAGTTTTGCAGAGACGTTCTTTTGGTATGAAATAAACACAAACATTATCATTGTTGTAAGTATTATTGTAAATATTATTACGGCCTCTACCACATCGTTGGCAGCCATTTTTAATGCATAATAATTTAGTGTAATCTCTCTCAGACATTCCGGTCAATACTTCGTAATCATTGAATGGCGTGTAAGTGTTTCTAGAGTGCTTCCATAACAATTCGATAGCTTCATTATCCTTTGATCTTAGATAGTCTCTGAATTTTTTACAAACGCACTCCAATTTCAACAAGTCATAAGGATCAAGAAATTCGCAGATTGCAACAAAAATTTTGATGGCATCGTAATATTCATTGGTGTTTGGTTGAGGATTTAGTAAAGCTCTTTCGAGAATTGGTTCCGTTGAATTCATTACAAGCATGGTTTTAATGCTGCTATGAACATATGAATAAATTAAATATATACAAGACGAATAATTAATATTATGTTAATGTTGAAAAAAAAAAGTGTTATTTATTATTTGTTTTTTTTCCGTGAAAATAAAAAAGAAAGATTTATAAAAAACTTGTGAATGGGATTTTTGTATATAGCGGTCCATTATTACTAAAAACAAAATGATTAATACAAATGCGTAAAAGTCATTTTGGAGGGTTTTTTCCCATGGAGCGCACGAATCAAAATTAAGAATTATTCTAGAATTTCTTTGTTCCATGGCTTATTCTAATGTTTACTTATGGAATGTAATAACTATATTTCGTAAAACTAGGAGTTATAACTTCTTACTAACACTGGTTAAATATGTAAAATTCTGGTTTTTTTTTTTTAATATTAATTTTTTTTATATTAATATAATTAATGTTAATTTTTTATATTAATGTTAATTTTTAATATTAATGTTAATTTTTTATATTAAATACCTTAGCCAAAGCCGCTGTATAACGGGGGAAATAGATGCTAGTGGCCGTAAACAAAAAAAAATTTTCTAACGTTGGTTGAATTCGTGTTTTTTTTTTGCAAATGAAATAAAAATGGATTTTGTTCGCATACTCGATGCATGGAAATTATTTTCCAAGACAATAAATTATTCAATGAGAATATTCGTAATGGGTCAAGTAAGAGTGGAATGTGTGTGTGTGACAAAAATCATCGACAATGAATGAAGCTGTAAAACTTTTAGCAAAATAGTTGTCCAAAAAGGAACGTGTCATTTTTAAAATCAACGGAAAGATGGCTCCTAGGAAACAATTTCCTCTTCAGAATGTCTTTGTGCTCACAAATCCACCATTAAAAAAAATTCTTTGCTTTGTTTTATTAACTTTTAGAGTATTCAATTCTTGTTTTTATAAATATAATGATTGATTTTTCTCCATCTCGATAAAATGTAATCCATTAGCGCTGATCGACCGATTTATTAACAAAAATAGATTAAATTCATTTACGTCATTTTTTTTACTGATGATGATGACAATACTTTGTATATATTAAATATTAATATTATTATTATTATTATTGCTATATATTATTTTTAAATTGTCTGCCAAATCTTCTCAGGGGTAAAATAAATATTCTCACTATTTTACGGTGGGACAAAAAGGCTATATATGTATATATTTTTAAAATAAATGTATTAGTATATAGTACATATTAATATATATTAAAATATACACGGTTTAGCAGACCTCGATTTGGCGAATACTAATTAAAAATCTGATGAAGTTCAAAGAAATAAGCCTTAATAAAAACCTTCTCGATATAACAGATTTTTCCTTAATTACTAATACTAATTACCCAAACTATCAGATTCACTGTGTGTGTAAAATTATAAAAATGAATCAGATCTGAGTCCAAGTACTACTGGCACATGTTTAATATTTTCTAGTTTTTAATTGTTTTTTAAATTAGAATGATATAATCGTGTAGTTTGCCGTCTTTTTTTTTATTTATCACGTCTGAAATTTGTCACCGAAAAATATATTATTCTCTAATTAATTAACATCAATGCTATTAAGAAAATTATTTTTGGCCTGCCGTATTTATTAATAATATTATTAATGGAAAAAAAATTTAATTAACATCCAATTGCTAATAAAAAATTATTTTTGGCCCCGTATTTTTATACTTTTTTATTTTTGATAATATTTTTGGTATTTATTATAATATATTTTCGGTGACAAATTTCAGATGTGATAAATATTGATCAATAAAAAAAAAAGGCAAACTACACGATTTATCAACATATTCCGTCTGTAAATATATCATCATCAGAGGTTCCTAGACTTTTTGCCAGGCAATTTTAACAAGAAATTATATCTGAATTTTAGAGTTGTTACAACAATAATAGAAGCGGAGCTGTATTTGTTCGAATATTCAGAAATTATGTAACAAGATATCCAAGCGTTGTGTTTTTAAAGGAAAGAAAATTAAATGTATGTTTGGGGTCAGAAGAATGGGCCATTAAATACTATGAAAATAATGAAACTGTTTTCTCGGATACATGACACGATCAGAAGGTGGAGGATATGTAAAAGAAAATAAAAATTGTAGATGGTAGGGGAAAAGTAATAAGTTGACCGTTAAGTTATGTATTTTATAATATTCTTCTAATTAATAATTACATTAATTATACTTGATAATTCTATTTATGGAATATATGTAACATTCACTTGTTAATATACAGTACCTGGACAAAAGTATCGGAACACTTGCTTTTGTTAATTGCGCAAAAATATACATAATAAACATGTATGAAATTTATATCATTTGCGGTTTAGGTTCTTGTGAATATCTATGGAAAATCCCATACATCTAAGTTTTGCAGAACTCGAATAAATATATGAAAATGAAATTCGATTAAATTTGACAATCAAAAATTTTTGACATGATGTTTTTAGAAATTGTCCA